TGATTTCATCACATTCAAGTCATTCATGATGATGATTGTGTTTACATTTGTGACTGCAATGCATTGCAATATAGAGTGGGGATTGAAATTCTAAAAATCAAAGTTCGTTATGAGAATTTATCAGTGGAAGGAGATGTGTATGTTGGAAGTAAAGTGCTTCCTACTCTTCTCAATATCGCAATCAATGCTTTGGAGGTGCTTCTTTTTTCATTTAACAATATCAGATTTAATCGATTATGTGATTTTTAAATTAAATTTGAGAGTGTTATTTATTTGTTTGTTTGCATGTGGTAGTTAGAGTGTTCTTGGATTGTTTCATCTTGCACCGTCCAAGAAAAGAGAAATTCAGATTCTCAAAAATGTTAGTGGAATTGTGAAACCCTCAAGGTATAGATTCTTGTATTTATGTGATTCATGCATTATTTTTACAATTTAAGTATAACTTACTTTATTTGGTATGATAATTTCATAATGACACTCCTTTTGGGTCCACCAGGTTCTGGGAAAACAACATTGCTTCTTGCACTTGCAGGAAAACTTGACCCTCATTTAAGGGTTTGTTCCCAATTTATTTTATTACTTTTCTAAATCAGTTTTGTTAAATAATGCCTTTTTATTATATTTTTTAAATTGTAAATTTTGTAACAATCAAGTTTTGGATGTGAATAGGCTTCTGGGAAAATCACTTATTGTGGTCATGAGCTAAATGAATTTGTTGCTGCAAAAACTTGTGCTTATATTGGTTAGCATGACATTCACTATGGAGAGGTTACGGCGAGAGAAACATTGGATTTTTCGTCACGTTGTTTAGGTGTTGGCAATAGGTATGAAATGTTGATGGAACTCTCAAGAAGGGAGAGAGAAGCTAGAATCAAACCAGACCCGGAGATTGATGCTTTCATGAAGGTTGTGGCATTATCAGGCCAAAAACTAGTTTTGTAACTGATTATGTTCTCAAGGTTTGTGCCTTTTATTCTATCTTGGACATATTTGAATCAACTTATTTGAGCTTATTTTGTTAACATGAGCAATTGTCAAACTGTTGGGAAAATTATTGAAACATATTTTCACATGCCAAAAATATATGAAAGATTAATTAAGTTATTAATCTAAACTTATTGGCTTTTGTAAAAGGTGAATTTTATCATGTTAATAGATGCTTGGATTGGATATTTGTCCTGCCATTATGGTTGGTAATGAAATGAGAAGGGGTGTCTCTGGAGGACAAAAGAAGCGAGTAACAACAAGTTCTATTCTTTTCTATTACATTCTTAATCAACAATCTGAGCTTATTAAACATTTAATCTCACAAGCATTTGTAGTTATTTATGAAGCTGTACTAATTGCTTCTGTTGTAACTTTTAGGGGAAATGCTGGTAGGACCAGCAAAAGCACTTTTTATGGATGAAATTTCAACAGGATTGGATAGTTCGACTACTTTTCAAATATGCAAGTTCATGAGACAAGTAGTTCATATATTGGATGTGACTGTAGTCGTTTCTCTTTTACAACCAGCACCAGATTTTTCTTAGCAAACACTTCAAGGTGTGAGACACAGACACATGTAGTCAATTATTTCCGTTTCATCAAATTACAACCGATTTGGAATCTCTGTCTCTATGATCAGATTTTTTCGACAATTCTTGGCATTGTTTGGCATTCATCAGATGTATCTCTCCTTATTTCGATTCTTCGCTGCTGTTGGTAGAACACTAGTTGTTGCTAATTCATTAGGTACATTGACATTGCAAGTGGTATTTGTGCTTGGAGGGTTCATTATTGCCAAAGTTAAGTAATGGAGTGATAATTGATGCTTTTTTTTCACAAGATGGAGTGAAGTAAGAATTAATATTCCCATTCGTTTGTGACTTCGTTAATTTGTGTCAAGTGATCGTTACTGATGTTATATATCCTCTCTTTTTTTTCTTTTGCAGCCAAATACAGACACAAGAATGGATGCACCAACAGTTGGAGAAGTACTTCTCAAACCCAGAGGCCTGTATACAGAATATTATTGGTATTGGATATGCATTGGAGCCTTGGTTGGCTTTTCTCTCCTCTTCAACTTTTTCTTCATTCTCGCATTAACTTATTTGAATCGTAAGTTATAAGTATTCTTTTGATTTTCAACGCGTATAATTCAACAGTTTTTTTATGGTTGCTAAACAGTAATAATATTACCACAAAATTTCAGCACTCGGTGATTCGAAAGCAGTCACTGCAGATGAAGAACTACAATATATCTATGGCATCATCAAGTGTATATTCAAACTTGTCTCCATTATCGACACATTTTCACCCAATCATGAACGCATTTTTGAACTATTTTCAATTTCAGAGTTTCCGTGCCTCAAATTTTTCTTTTATCCATCGAAGCTCTTTAAGACTAAACTTCATGCACCTTTACGGTACACAAAGGCTGCACTAGACGACAACCATTTTCTGCTACACAAAACGTTACCTAGTTGTAATATTTATTCTCTTTTGTTTCTTCATAACACCACTTTCACCACTCTTTCTATTCCCTTCTCAACAAAAAGAGAGAAAAAACTCAATCCTCATCTCAAACTATGTCTTCATCTTCATCTTCTTGTGTTAGCGGAGTTGTTGATGACAATAACTCTTCAAACCCGTCTGAGATGAGTCTAAAAGCACCTATGGTTAGACCTTATAGTCGATCCAAAATGCCTCGACTTCGATGGACACTAGATCTTCATCGTTGCTTTCTGCATGCAGTTCGAAAGCTTGAAAGAGAAGAAAGTAAGCTGCCTAATTATTATTTTTTAATTTTCATTCCCTCTAATTGATTGTTAAAAAATATTGTATGTTTGTATATTCAAGAGGGGCTACAGCAAAGTTAATTTTACAAGTAATGAATGTTAAGGGGCTTACTATATCTCATGTCAAAAGCCACCTTCAGGTACTCTTCTTTATCATTATTTATAACCACTATCTTATGTTTTTATAAATAATAAATTAATGATAAAATTTTTCCTATTTTATTAATCATGAAATTTGAATATAAATGACAGATGTACAGAAGTATGAAACATGAAGAAATGAGTCAAGGTATTGAAAGCATGTTATATCATGTCACAGAAACACATGTGTATGCATATTTGTAAATTAGACATATTGTTTGGTACAATACAAGAAATTTGATCTGTGAATATGAAAATAAGATATTTATATTGTGACATATTATGCTAAGAAAATAGAGGAACCAAACAAGACTTAGTCATGTCAGCATAACTGGTTTTAATTCCCTATTCTGTCACCAACTTAAAGTTATCAAGTCATATATTCTTCCAGATTTTGTTCCTAGATAACTATCATTGTGTTGGACTACAACTCAAATTCCGGCATCACGTTACTCATGAGGTTTTTTCATGAAATAAATTATATATGCATGTCTTTTGGATGCGCGGTAAATTATATATGCATGTCTTTTGGATGCGCGGTGAAAATAAGTAATTTGTTGTAGTGTCTACATCTTTAGGGTATATTATCTTATTCTTGATCTTGATAAGTATATTCCAAGTTTCTTTGCTTCGAGATTATTATACCGATTCTTACAAGGATCCTTGCATTTTGTGAGTGAGAATTTTACCGAGAAAATGAGTAAGGAAAATCGATATGCACCACTCTTACCACCGTCGTCTACTTCCGATGTTTACATTGAAGACCCGAACAGGTAAATTTCCACTTCTGATTATTATCTATATTTTTGACTAATTAACCATTTTGGTTTTCGTTATGTGTTAATCATGTTATGTTTTAAGTTTGTTATTATTTTAATTATATATTTTTTTGACCGATATTAATTATTATTATTATTTTTTAAATCAAAGGAAGAATATATTAATTCAAAAATAGTTATTATTATTATTATGATTATTATTATTATTATTATTATTATTAATCTTATTATTATTATTATTATTATTATTATTATTATTATTATTATTATTATTATTATTATTATTATTATTATTATTATTATTATTATTATTGTTATTGTGTAAAACTATTGTATTATTAAATCGTTGATTTGATTTGATTTATTATATTATTTTTTGCTGCATGTATTACGGTGTTTGGTTTTAGTTTGTTATTATTTGTTTTACTAGTTAAATAAAAAAATATGATTAATAATTATCTTTTTAGAGGAGTTTGTTATGTTTTTCCGCCTAAGTAATGCATTATAAATAGTATCATTAGTAATGAGAGTTCTCTTAATTTGGTTTTGCTGAAGTTCAAGAAGCTTTCTTCTCTCTTTAGCCAAAGCTAAAGCTGGTAGTTACAGAACGCTGAAATTATCAAGGAGATTCAGTAAAAATATTGTATTATTAAATCGTTGATTTGATTTGATTTATTATTTTATTTTTTGCTGCATGTATTACGGTGTTTGGTTTTAGTTTGTTATTATTTGTTTTACTAGTTAAATAAAAAAATATGATTAATAATTATCTTTTTAGAGGAGTTTGTTATGTTTTAAGTTTGTTATTATTTTAATTATATACTTTTTTGACCGATATTAATTATTATTATTATTATATTTTTTTTGAATCAAAGGAAGAATATATTAATTTAAAAATAGTTATTATTATTATTAATATTATTATTAATATTATTATTATTATTATTATTATTATTATTATTATTATTATTATTATTATTGTGTAAAAATATTTTATTATTAAATTGTTGATTTGATTCGATTTATTATTTTATTTTTTGCTGCATGTATTACGGTGTTTTGTTTTAGTTTGTTATTATTTGTTTTACTAGTTAAATAAAAAAATATGATTAATAATTATCTTTTTAGAGGAGTTTGTTATGTTTTTCCGCCTAAGTAATGCATTATAAATAGTATCATTAGTAATGAGAGTTCTCTTAATTTGGTTTTACTGAAGTTCAAGAAGCTTTCTTCTCTCTTTAGCCAAAGCTAAAGCTGGTAGTTACAGAACGCTGAAATTATCAAGGAGATTCAGTTTGCAATGTCTTGGACTTGGTAACAACAAAACTTCTCTTCCTCATTATGTCTTTCGAGAGATTGTGTATTGTTTATGTATAAATTGCTTAATTTGTAACTCTTTTTTCTTGATCAGTGTGTATGAAGGTTCGCCTGATCTCCTACCTTCACCTTATAGCGAAATAGGTATATACTGTTATTTGATTATCTTCTTGCTATTACTTATGTGCCATCTTTCAATATTGTAAAGTATTTAAAGGTTCTTTATGCCTTCACACAGATTATATTCTTCAGAAAGTTTCTGCTTCAAAGGTTCTGGATAATGTCAATCTACTGCATCAGAGTAATAAACCATATCTGCCTCCATGTCACAGCAAGGTTTGATTTTTATTATCTTTATTTACAATGCTTAGGTTATTATACTATCTGCAAATATGGTTTAGTCTCTTGATCCAAGTAAGGTTGATTTATCCATTCAAATATTGTTGTTTGTTGATGAATCGAGGCCCATATTATTCTGTTTTTCAGGCACTATTTTCTTCAAGTGGAGACAGCAATGGCTCACTAAAGACTGACGTATCTAGATCTTCTGACTGTACAAATCAGGAAGTGCAAGCAGAACTAAAAAAACGTCATAACGTTTCTCCTACAAAATTTGCACAGAGTGATGATCTTTGGGAGTCTTGTGTGTGTCTCGAACCTCCATTGATCCATGGTGTCCAAATTCAACAGGATTCAGAACTTAAGTCTTCCAATACCAGCTTAGAAGACTGTTCCAGTTCTAGATATGGTTTTACTTTTCCTGATGAGGACAGTTTAATTACATATGACGGACCTTTCTCGACGCTTGAAGTGAAAATTCTGCCTAGAATTGATAGTTTTGTGTCTTCCCCTGAAAGCAATCTAAATGAAGATGATTTGGATAGTCAAGACTCAACTTTTGTAATGATCAAGAGTCTTATAGAATCTGTACTTGATGGTGATGATGATTACGATGACGATTACTATAATTGTGATTATGATAATTCCTCAATGGATGATATTATGGCGGAGCTGGTCCAGCAAGGATCTAGAGTTGCTAAACTAAATCTTTCTTACCAGCAGTTGAGTCCAGGAAGGGATCCATTCTTTTTGTCTTCCCCCTCTTGCCCATGCGGCAACATTCATCAGGGTGATCATGAGCTTAGAAGGTTTGGTTTTGAAGCTGATGAATCAATGTTCCAACAGGGCATAATGCCATCACTTGAGGTGCCTTCATGGAAGGAGAAAACAAAGCTAATGCTGAACTGTTTTGAACATCTGGATCCAGACTATGACTGTTCTGTAAAGGGAGTTCCTGGTACGAAATTGCCTGCATAATATTTTGTTTGAGTCATGTATTTTTATAACTGAAAACTTAAAGGGTGTTTTAGTTAATGATTTTTATTCTAAACATGTTAGATTCTAATGGTGACGGTGAAACTGGGAGCAAGTGAGAGGATTCTACTAGTTGCAGACTTTTCCACTGTGTTAAACAGTTGATATGGAGATAGGAATGTTAGCATGAAAATAGTGATTAGCAGTTGCTTTAATTTTTCACACTTTTTGTGAAGCAGCCATCAATGCTCTGAAGCTGCTTTAATAGATCCCTCCTAGCTATTGTAATATTAACATTTTTAAAAAAAAAAAATCCTCTTAGTTACTTAGTTACTGCTCTATTTCTGTTTTTGACTTTTTTTGTATAATATGTTTTGTTTGTCTTTTTTTGGACAATGTGCTTGAATGTTTTAGACTTTGATTTGTTTCTGATAGGCTGAAAATGCATGCCTCTGAGAAGATTAGTCATCAGAATAATAAGGAATTAATCATTCTGAATAATGATATTATCATTATCAGTCTTCAATCTATTACTTTCAATCTCAGCTTAATGATAACTGACATAAAGAACCGAGTGTAAAAGCCACCCAAAATGGTAATAGTAATCAAAAGTCTCAACATTTATAAAATTTCAAAGTTTAACGACATAGTCAATATATTTGATGTGTCATTATTGTTTATCATAATTTTGCTCTAGCAAATTGGAATATGATGGTAAATTAAACTATATTACATGGCCATTGCAACAAAGTGGTGCAATGAATACAATTTTTGGTGCTTGATTGCTTTGCCGAAACCACATAGGCAGAATGGAACCCTGGTTTAGTCCATGAAATGCATAACTTTAACCTGTGAATCCTTATAATAATATTAACATTTAATACTCCTTATCAACCATTAAATGGAAGTTTAAGTTATAATTTTGCAGAAGCTTAAGTTTTGCTTTACTTATAAAATCAGTTCAGGGTAGTAGTGCAGATGTTATGTGTGTGCTATAATTGCAGACTCATTAAAGCTCTTTTCCATTGAGCATCTTCAAGTTTCCCATGTTGTAGATTATTGGTCACTCTCCTTTTGTTGAATTAAGTTGTATTTAGATTTAATTTGAGTTTAATTTAGTGGTTCTGATAATATAAATACGAAACTCAAGTTTAATTGATAACCAATTTATTTTGTAATCATTTTCAATTGTAAAAAAGGGTTAGTTAGAATTCTTTCTCTTCCATCATCTTCTTCTTTCTTTATTTTTGTAACCCCAACACCTTTTATCAAATATATTGTTCTTATATTTAAAATTGATTCAGAAAGGTTAAAAGATGACAAGTATGTCAATTGTCTTATATAATATTAAACACTTAAAAATTATATATTTTTGAAAACAAGTTAAAAATATATATTATTGGGCAAATGAGATTTGGTTAAACATGTCTTTGATTTGAATTAATTAATTATTTTGATATATGTTTTAAACATTTTATCCTTTAAGTTTGTTTTAAGTTTTTTATCATTTTAATTATAAATGTTACACTTTTATTATTATGTAAATAATTACTACTGATAAATTCTTTATTAAATCAAAATTTTGTTTTCCATGGCAACAAAGAGAAAGAATAACGAAAAACAAAAAGACAATATCCAAAGCAATATTCAACGTGTTTTAGATATTAAAAATAAATGAATAAATAAAGTAAATTATTTTTCTAAAACATCGGAAGGATTTAAATGAATTTAATAGATATAAATTATAGCATATTGTTTAATCTAACAATAATCAAGAATAATTAGAACGGTGTATTTTATAAGATTGAAGAGACGGTTGCCGAAACTTGTGAGTATGAGAGAATTACTAGCCTCATTGCCGTTTAGGATTTTCAGAGTAATTTAATTGTCTAATGAGAAGAAGACACTTAAATAGCTAAACGGCTGAGGACAGAGACCTCTCGTTGAGCTTAATTGAATGATTCAACCAATTACGGTTCATTCAGGCACAAAACCCAATCAAACAATTCATCTATTTAGTGTTTAATAACAATAGACCATAATATAATTAATTAATAATTAATTATGTCAATCCATATTTGATTAATTAAATAATTAATCTACCAATCTCCCACTTGGATGACAATAATTAATTATTAAAAATATTGATTTTAGTATTAGAATATCAATAATGGTCAAAACACCGATCAATCAAAAGAAATAAATTTCAACGCTGAAGAAATTGTATCCGATAGGGAAGACAAATCATACATATTAAAACTCACAACTTTATATAAAAAATGATGACTTTAGAGTAACATATTTAACTTCAGAGTAATATGTTATAAAGAATGGCCCAACCATATGAAAATGCTATTGATAAACTCCCACTAACCTAAAGTATCATAAGACTTCAGAGAAATTATTATTATTATTATTATTATTATTATTATTATTATTATTATTATTATTATTATTATCATTATTATTATTATTATTATTATGTAAAAATATTGTATTATTAAATCGTTGATGTGATTTGATTTATTATTTTATTTTCTGCTGCATGTATTACGGTGTTTGGTTTTAGTTTGTTATTATTTGTTTTACTAGTTAAATAAAAAAATTGATTAATAATTATCTTTTTAGAGGAGTTTGTTATGTTTTTTGGCCTAAGTAATGCATCATAAATAGTATCATTAGTAATGAGAGTTCTCTTAATTTAGTTTTGCTGAATTTCAAGAAGTTTTCTTCTCTCTTTAGCCAAAGTTAAAGCTGGTAGTTACAGAACGCTGAAATTATCAAGGAGATTCAGTAAAAATATTGTATTATTAAATCGTTGATTTGATTTGATTTATTATTTTATTTTTTGCTGCATGTATTACGGTGTTTGGTTTTAGTTTGTTATTATTTGTTTTACTAGTTAAATAAAAAAATATGATTAATAATTATCTTTTTAGAGGAGTTTGTTATGTTTTAAGTTTGTTATTATTTTAATTATATACTTTTTTGACCGATATTAATTATTATTATTATTATTATTATTTTTTTGAATCAAAGGAAGAATATATTAATTTAAAAATAGTTATTATTATTATTATTATTATTATTATTATTATTATTATTATTATTATTATTATTATTGTGTAAAAATATTTTATTATTAAATTGTTGATTTGATTCGATTTATTATTTTATTTTTTGCTGCATGTATTAAGGTGTTTTGTTTTAGTTTGTTATTATTTGTTTTACTAGTTGAATAAAAAAATATGATTAATGATTATCTTTTTAGAGGAGTTTGTTATGTTTTTCCGCCTAAGTAATGCATTATAAATAGTATCATTAGTAATGAGAGTTCTCTTAATTTGGTTTTACTGAAGTTCAAGAAGCTTTCTTCTCTCTTTAGCCAAAGCTAAAGCTGGTAGTTACATAACGCTGAAATTATCAAGGAGATTCAATTTGCAATGTCTTGGACTTGGTAACAACAAAACTTCTCTTCCTCATTATGTCTTTCAAGAGATTGTGTATTGTTTATGTATAGATTGCTTAATTTGTAACTCTTTTTTCTTGATCAGTGTGTATGAAGGTTCGCCTGATCTCCTACCTTCACCTTATAGTGAAATAGGTATATATTGTTCTTTGATTATCTTCTTGCTATTACTTATGCGCCATCTTTCAATATTGTAAAGTATTTAAAGGTTCTTTATGCCTTCACACAGATTATATTCTTCAGAAAGTTTCTGCTTCAAAGGTTCTGGATAATGTCAATCTACTGCATCAGAGTAATAAACCATATCTGCCTCCATGTTACAGCAAGGTTTGATTTTTATTATCTTTATTTGCAATGCTTAGGTTATTATACTATCCGCAAATACTTAGGTTATCATACTATCTGCAAATATGGTTTAGTCTCTTGATCAAGTAAGGTTGATTTAGCCATTCAAATATTGTTGTTTGTTGATGAATCGAGGTCCATATTATTCTGTTTTTCAGGCATCATTTTCTTCAAGTGGAGACAGCAATGGCTCACTAAAGACTGGCGTATCTAGATCTTCTGACTGTACAAATCAGGAAGTGCAAGCAGAACTAGAAAAACGTCATAATGTTTCTCCTACAAAATTTGCAAAGAGTGATGAACTTTGGGCGTCTCGTGTGTATATCGAACCTCCATTGATCCATGATGTCCAAATTCAACAGGATTCAGAACTTAAGTCTTCCAATACCAACTTAGAAGACTGTTCCAGTTCTAGCTGTGGTTTTACTTTTCCTGATAAAGACAGTTTAACTACATATGACGGACCTTTCTCGACGCTTGAAGTGAAAATTCCGCCTGATAGTTTTGTGTCTTCCCCTGAAAGCAATTTAAATGAAGATGATTTGGATAGTCAAGACTCAACTTTTGTAATGATCAAGAGTCTTATAGAATCTGTACTCGATGGTGATGATGATTACCATAACGATTGCTATAATTGTGATTATGATAATTCCTCAATGGATGATATTATGGCGGAGCTGGTCCAGCATGGATCTAGAGTTGCTAAAGTAAATCTTTCTTACCAGCAGTTGAGTCCAGGAAGGGATCCATTCTTTTTGTCTTCCCCCTCTTGCCCATGCGGCAACATTCATCAGGATGATCATGAGCTTAGAAGGTTTGGTTTTGAAGCTGATAAATCAATGTTCCAACAGGACACAAATAATTTTTAGAAAGGTTAAAAGATGACAAGTGTGTCAATTGTCTTATATAATTTTTAGCACTTACGCATTGTGTTTTTTCAAAAATATCATGCAAATGTGGTCATGAATTCAATGGCTTAATTTTTGAAAGATATGTTTGGGTTTAAATGACATGAAATATTAAGAACAATTATTTGACAAAAATATTGAGATTGAGAAAATTTGTAAGTTGCCCAAGATTATTCGCATAAGATTTTTGTAATTTCAATCCATACAAATATTATAATATTGATTATTATCGTTATAGTGTGGATTAATTATTATTTATTATTTAATATAAAAACGGTGTATAACAATAGCAGTCCCAATAGCGTTGTTTTATTTTGTTTGTCTTCAATGTTAGTTATATACTATATATTATATAACTGGGTATCTGATAGATAGCCATTGAGACAGGATTGTAAAA